CATGCTGACATTTTGCTGGGATTTCTACTTGTGCAACTTTCCTGTAATTCATGCCCTCTGTGTGTTTTATTTAGCTTGGATGTTGTCACTTATTCCTCACTGGTGAGCCGTTGTGTACAGCATCCTGCCCGCCAAAACTCTTGATTTTCACACGGAAGAACATTCTACGATATTTGAAATAACCAACATTTTCTTCTATAACCGTGGCACGGCAGAAGCGTAATAATACCTTTGACATCTTATCCACCCTTTTCAGTGCCAAGATAAATGCCCACCACAAATATTGGTTCTACACTATTGTGCTAGCAGGCCCTAGGTGGACTTACTTTTGTTGTTACTATACTTAATAGTGAAAACTAGAAGCTTTTTCTTTTTCTTTAAAGTGGAAAACAGAATTGAATTCTGATTGGGAAACCGCATCTCATAACAGTTTTATAACTGTGTCTACAAATTTGTCTAGGTTAGTTGTGTGCTATGCATACCTAATGAGATGCAAAACAGACTTTTCCCCCCCATTTTTATTTAGTTATGCATTTGAAGGGCCAAATACACGTAGATGTCACAGTGATAAGAAAGGTACAGACGATTGATTACCCAGCTACTATGAGAGAACAGGCTATTAATAAAACTTGGTGCTTATCTTTAGTGTATTGCATTTGCAAACAGAAAACATTCACATTAAGACATACATTTTTTATGTCCATAGCCCTCAACTCTGTTTGATCCCTAGTGAAGAAGGGGAAATAATGATATGCTGTAAGGTGAGGATTTTCCCCCCCCTGGAGCCAGAAAAGCTGAACCAGATGTAATATTTGACGGAATATGAATGCCATTGGGAAAAGTATGGAATTTTTTGGCTTATACAGGACTCCTAAAAAAACATTTTTAGCCAGAAACTCACCCAGTTTTAAGAGGGATGCAAATATGAACGTCCGTATAAATTTAGCCTTTTCAAATCCAGCTTTACCACCCCACTACTGATTCATTTTGCCCTTCGTGAAGTCACCAGCGTTCAGCTTTGCTGAATAAGGATAAAAGTGAACAGTTCAAAATCACTATGCAATGATTCTGAATATATGCACAATAATAAGGCTTAACTCACACCCTGTGGTGAGTCAGTCATTACTCTGCATGTGCTCAAAGGCACTGTCATCTCAGTCTAATTTGAAACTGAACTATACCTAGATCTAATTAGAAACCATTTTGTCAGCTTTGGCTAACTTGGTCGATATATTTCATATGCTAGCTGTAGCTCTTGGACCCTACCTCTAAAGATTCAAATGACCTAATTCCCCAAGTCTCTGAAAATCATTTAACTGACCCTTGCACAGCGAATGACGGAAATAACCAAAGTGTATCCTAACAGTTTTCTCTACTGCTCAGAGCCCTGCACTTTGTCATCATCTCAGATGTAGCATTTTGCTGTTTTCAAACCCACTTTAAAAGTACATCAAACAATATGCTACATTTTTATCCGGTGCCCAGGGTGGTCGATGCTTAGCTACGTTGTCTGCCTGCCAAGATTCTGTGTAACTCTAAAACTTTCCCGTTTTCTTAGCCAATTAAAAACGAGATTTCATCGCGGCGGAGTATTGTTTGGCTTGGGCTAAATGCGACTGTTGATCCATATTTTTAAAACGCAGGGATGGAAACCACCACCGTTTGGGTTTTCTGCCGGGGGCAGAAATAACCGTGACTAAATGCCGTCCCGTCTGACACCTTTTCCAAGCAGGGGAGGGAGGGGAGGGGAGGGCGAGGAGCGGAGCGCCAGAATTCTAATTCAGAACCTGGTTGGACCGTTGCCTATTATGACGCCATAATGAGAGGCGGCGCCGGGCTGGCAGGCTCTCTATAAATAACGCCGACAAGGACTGCAAAGATAAATCGAAGGAGTTCGGCTCAGGCGGAGGATCGAGCGCAAAAGTACCCGAGCCGTCTGCATTTCAGATCTTGCTTTGCTCTGAGCGGCACTCCCCAGGTAAGTTTGCTCTCGGACGCGTGGTGTGGCTGTGCTCGTTCGAGGATTTGCGGGAGGGGGACGGATTCAACCCGGGGGAATCGGGGATTTTGCTCCGCTGAAGTTGGAGACCCCTGTGGATCTTCCGAGCTAAGCGCCGAGGTTTTTGGGGAGACTGCCCAGAGCTGCGCGGTCAGGGGCGTTGTGATTTCCTTGCTTCTCCCCCATGTCTTTCATCCCGTTGGAGGTGCTCGCTCCCTCCGATCCAGTTTAATGAAGCCCCCTGTCAAGGGCGCCGCTAATCCGTGCTCTTTAAGTACCCCAGCTCCAAAGGTTCTCCCCGCTTGTCCACGCATCGCCGCGATCCGAAGCGTGGTTAGACCCTGGCCGTAGGGAAGGCAGGAGGAACGGGCGGGTTGAATTCGGGGTAGAGAGCGTGCGGGGCGGGGGTTATGCATCGCTTTCCCCCCCGCCCCGTTTGCATTTGCAAATCAAAGAGGCGGTTGCTCCGGATTAACCCATGTGCCGTGGGAACACGCTGAGCTCTCCCCCCCTTGTCTCCCCCCCAGACGCC